CGGTTTCGTGCAGTCTACGTTTTAGTACTATGTTGATTGCACATAGACCCAGAACACGTGTGATGGAAAAACTGGTCAAAAGTTAGGGGTCTTGTGTTCTTGTTTTATACCAGCTGTTTCGAAACTTGTCCCATTTCTTTTACTTATCTGAGGCATCCAATTGACAGGCCCAGCTATTTCACATCTAATCCTACATACCATCCATGTCAGCCCGCTTTCCTACAACCCAGCGCCCGAACCCTGCTATGAAACCCTTAACCCCCATTATAGTAGTTTGCATTTTTTCCACTATTCCAATATATCCCCTCAATATACCCTCAATATACCCTCAATATACCCTCAATATAACCCCTGTATAACCCCTGCATAACCCCTGCATAACCCCTGTATAACCCCTGAAGGCCAACGGGCGATGGCCTCACGCCCGTAGCCGCTACAGACCGGCCCCTTGCCCGGCACTTATGCATGGCAAGGGCAAGTTTTTTGTGGGGGATTTCAGATTTCAGCGCCAGCATCCGTATACCCCTGCATCCCAACAGCTCAACCTGGAAGCAGGCATGTGGCGGTTTCCGAAAATTTGGATTTTTTGTGTTCCTCAGAACACGGATTACAGTATGTTGGGGATTTACGTTAATGTTTTCGTTGATGCAGACCACCATGTAATATTAGTGCGTACAACCTTACTATAGTCTACTACCTGGTCCATATCTGGGTTCGGGCTGCGGGTTATTATGCCTTTGTTGGGTGCTGGTGTATTTGTTCTTCTTGATATTCTTGTCTTGACATTGCCGTGCCCTGTGGTCCTGTTCTTGGTCCAGGTTCGTATTTTCAGGTTTGCGGCATCCCCAAAACAGTATAAAGGTTTATGTAAGCAAACTTTTCAATAGTCAATACGCGTTGCAGATTAATTAGTGAGGTGCAGGTAGCCGTGATGGCAATAATGCGAATGCGATCGTGGCAGGTGGTACCTGTATATGCAGGGTCTCTGTGATTGATGTCACCTTTCAAAACCTTTTGCGACGAGTGAGGATGCTGAGCACGGACGCATTTAAGGGGCCCTGTCGGTAAGAAACGCAGGTGGACCCCCAGTTTGAGGGTTTCACATGTCGAAGCAACATGTAGGTTTCAATATTTTGGATGTTATTCAAGTTCGCAGGTGGTGTAGCTACATCAGCAGTGTCCAGAAGTATTTCTTTTGCACAGTTGACACGTCAGTCACGACACATGCCGGTAAGTTCAGGTACGAATTTTATTCGGCTTATACAACCTGATCATGCTAGACCTTTCACCTTGTAGTACCGCACGCTCGCCATGCATACTCGGAGACCAGAGGCGACCTACGAAGTTTTGCAAAAACACGTATGGAACTATTACTTGGAGGGTCAGGGGGACTTGTTGGTTAATAAGGGGGATCTTTAGGTTCGCTATATGGGCTATAGGGGTTATTAACCTACTTACTAAGTCCCCCCTGACCCTCCAAGTATCAAGCCATGGTACGGTATCCTACTTGCATATGCATGCCCAGCCCAGTTCAAGTGTGAGTCACGTTTGCTTAAAGACCCGTAGGTCAATCATCTTTTAGAATCCTTTAATATGTTTTAATATACTATGATCTACTATAATCCATTATGATATAGTTCAATATATTATCATATACCGTAACATACTATAGTCTGCTATAATCTACTATAATATACTAGAACATAGTATAATACATTTATAGTATGCTAGAGTAGTTTTGGTTGTCCACAAAAACCGACATGATACCTGCTGCACTTGTGATCGCGGAGCAAGCTGAGGATTTCGGTAGTGAACGTCAGGCTCGGCAGGGGTGTTAGTACTTTGGGGTTACATGGATAATGGAAAAGACAATGGAAACTACTATAGTATATTCTAGTATTACTATAGTATATTCTGATGTTTTTATAGTGCTATTCTCGTATTACTCTAGTATTAATGTAATATACTACTGTTATAGTGCTATTTTCGTATTACTATAGCATTATTATGGTATTATTAGAGTATAGTATATTATGTTATAGTATATTATAATATTAATATAGTGCTGTTCTCGTATTACTATAGTATTATTATAGTATAATATAGTATATTATAGTATATTTTGGTATATTAGAGTATATTAGAGTATATTTTAGTATTGTGTGAAGTTGCCGAAGTTGTGCAGTGAAAGCGTTTTTACACGTCTTTCAATGCAAGGTCATTCTGCCTGCGCAAGTCTTGATAAAGCAGGAGTGTTTCACAGTTACAACACTCCACAATTGGCGCAGCAACCCCCCATAATCTCTGTTTACTGCAAGGGCCCCAATCGTAAACCCATTTCAATAAGCCCCCAGGTCGCTGAGAAAGGAGCGCAGTCACGCAACAATCCTTTTGTGGCTTGTCAGGCGTTCGCCATGCGACTTCTCATAGTCGCGGCATGTGCTGGCATCTCAGGCATAAGGTGTTATCCGTCTTCTTCCCACTGTCTGTGTGGTTCAGCCTCCTTGAGATTCAGCTACCGGTGTACATGCGCAGACTAGTTCGTGTATTGCTTCTGGGCAGTGAGGAAACAGTTTTTTGTTGCCTGGCTGCAGCTGCCCGCAGTCGATGGCATATAACGCTCGGTCATGCCTGATCCGCTAGATGTTCTGAGTACCTAGGTATATCGCCAACATGGCACATGCTACCTTTGCGGGGTCACTCAAGTAGATTCAGGATCCCCTCAGGCTAGCCTTGGAAGCCTGCAGAAGTGAAAATTGCATTGAGGGCCTCCCAAAATAAGGTACCATTGCGGGATCCCCCAATAAGGACTATCGTAAATTGAGGTCCATAACCCCTATAATGGAGAATCAAATGAAAAAGAAAATGGAAAATGACATGGAAACTAGGATTATATAGGGGATTGCCACCCCATTTAGGGAAACTATCATTAGGCTGCATGGCAGGCAGCGTGACCTGCATGTTTGCACCTGCTCAGGTTATACCTATCGCCAGCAGAAGCATCAGTCGGTCCTCCCTGAGAAGTGGAAGCCACCGGACCGAATTGTTTGAGCTTGTTATTTTTCTATAGTATATTGGGGTCATGTAGGGACAATGGAAAATAGTATGGAAACTACTATAGTATATAGGGGTTATTTTGGGATAGTGGAAGAGAAAAATGGAAACTACTATAGTACGGGGTTGTATTTCTTCCCTGAAGCATTGCAAGAAGTTAAGGGAGATGAGGCTGGGAAGAGTGCCCTCCAGCTCTGTTGGAGGGATACTGAGAGAGCTGAAGGAACATGCTTGTGTCATTTGAGTAGTAATTTATTAGGGGATACTATGGTACCCAATACAGAGGAAGATTATATCCTCCTTTTTGGGTATAGTATTGTATATAAGGAATATAATCTTACTGGGTTTAACCACCAAAAAACACTACTCATTTGCCGCCACACGGGGTCTGCGAAGTTCAAAGTGTTACACGAAGAAGATTAGGAAAGAACGACGGTTTGCAACACAACTACCCCTCAAAGGTTTGCCCGATAGGTATCGCTGCTCACGAGTTCGGATCTAAAACGGGTTGAGCTTGTTACATTGAGATCAATTAGGGGGCTTTGTCGGTATCCTTTTTTGAATTACTTGAAGACTCCTTTCATGGGATTATGGAAGTCCGAAACGGGTCGTACACAGGGTACTAGCTTTGAAGTTTTCCATGTGAGCTTGGGCGACCCTGAAACCCTAAATTCTAAACCCGAAGCCCTAGGTGATCAGTAGACATGTCAGCTTTCTCACTACCCACCAGCATTCGCAAGGCCGATCCATAGATGTGGCAGAGGTGCTGCTTGCATTTGGGCCGTTCGCGGGATGAAAGGGCTTAATGCGTTTACGGAGGGATTGTACAAGGATGATGGAGGGATTCATAAATTTGTTTCTTCGCTTTCAAATCCATGACTCCTTTAGGCACTGAAAATTTCCTTGCAGACAGAAATATTAAAAGCTTGAGGGTTTAGGGTTTAGGAAATATGTATCAGATAGCCTGCACAAACTATTGCAACAGAAAGAGGGCACTCTAAAATTGAAAGCTATGCTGTTGAGCAGTCTTTTCCTCCTAACCCTTAAACCTCAAACCTGAAACCCTAGACCCAAGCCTTAAACTTTATTGGTGGGTATTAGGGCATAAAGGAAAATGATCCCTATATACCCCCTGCATAATACATTCCCTTAGTTCCTACTAGCAACCAGTAAGTAAAGGTAGAGAGAGAATCGGATCGAGGATCGGATCTTGCGGCTGTAGGGATGTATTGGGGCTTGTCATTTTTTGGGTACCGGGGGCCATACAATGGTAGGGATCCAAACTTGACGAAATATCAGTCAGGTTTCAGGAATTCGGTTCAAGGATTGGGGCTCAGGTTCTGGGTCTAGGGATTAGGAATTTAGGTTGAAGGTTGCGAATTAGGGCTTAGGGTTTAGAATCTAGGGTTTCGGGTTTGGAGCCTACGTTTAGGCTTTTTCCAGATCAAGTTGCACTTGGTGCACGCATATCCAATTAGCAGGTGAATGCATCAGGTTGCAAGGAACATTAGTTTCACTCCTGCAGGACCGCGGAACTGTGAATTATTAGAAGTTCATGTATTTCCCTGTTCAGGACCTACGGACCATAGAATGAATCACCCCGTTTGCTCCGAGTGCTGCATTGCTGATGGCCCTGCACAAAGCTGGCTCTACGGGACAGGGTAGGTTTAAGCGCGCAACGTAACGCACCCAGGCATAAGCTTGCACTCGGTGGAAAGGCCGCAGCACTGGCCAACTTCAGACATTCCATCCGTGAACGCTAAGTAATTAATACTAGTAAACAGCCACTGCGGCTACTCCCAGCCAACCCCATACCCTATAGTCCCCCTTAAGTAGATAAAATATGGGGTATAGAGGGATCTTATTATATTATACCCAAAGCCATATTCTATCTACTTTAAGGGGGACTATACATCCTGGGCCCCTCAACATGCATTGCTGACGCCATGGCTCTAGATATCGAGCTGGAGGAAGCCAGGAGGCTCCTCGCCTTTTGAGCGGCGTTCAAAAGCAGGCTGCGTTTCGCGATATAGGGTCAGATCATACTCTCCTTGTGGTTGCAGATTGGTTTAGAAGTAGAATGGGGTCTTTCAATTGGGTCAAGCACCAAGAAACACCCATCATTTAGGCGTTGAATCAGGCAGTGGTACAAGAACATGTACAGGCAGAGGCCCTAAACCCTAAACCCTAAACCTTGTTGGATTCTGTTGGAACCTCCAGGCTGGTTGAGGCGTCCTCCCGGGTTCTGGTGCTCACAGGGGCTGGGATCAGCAGCTTGGTTCAAGGTGCTTTGGGCAAGACCTTTTGGAACTAAACCCTAAACCCTCAACCCTCAACCCTAAACCCTAAACCCTCAACCCTAAACCCTAAACCCTAAACCCTCAACCCTAAACCCTAAACCCTAAACCCTAAAGCTTCGAGCTTTGGACTTGTGCTGCCAAGGCACAGACTCAGGCATTCCAGACTTTCGTGGACCTGATGGGTTGTGGACGAAGAATCCAGGCCTGGTGGAAGGTCTCTGTTGGGCGCTGCCGTGATTCTTGACATTTTTCTAGATACCGAATAGTGAGAGTACTAGTAATAGTAGTAGGATGTAGTAGGTGTAGTAATATGACATGTAATCGTAATGGCAATGGTCATGGTAATACGAATGGTTCGGTAATGATGGCGATGATGATGATGATGATGATGATGGTGATGATCACGTTCACTCCTAGACCCATAATCCCTTAACCTTTGATCCCGAATACCAAGCCCTAATTCCCTTGTCCCAGGTGCCGAGGAGGCTTCTGACATTGGTGTTTTCGTTAGCGATGAGAATGCCCGCAAAGCGTGCCGGGGCTTGAAGTAGTCAGGGCTGCATCTGCTGCATTTCACCTGGATTTAGTGTTTAGGCCCTAAAGTTTAGGGAGAGGTATGCAACGGGACATCGGAATGGACTGCGTAGAAGCATGACACAGGGATTTTCACGAAAGGCTGCGACAAACGGTCCAGGCTCCCATGCTAGCTTTAAAAGCTGCTTGCGCGATGGTGGTTTTCAGAAGTATGGGGTTCCCAGCCCAAATGGACCCTCTCAGATCACATGCAGCAACCCAAATGCTTATGTACGAACTTTGGACCGACTTGGGATTATGAATGGAGCGCAATCCTTTCTCACCAACATAAAACATTCCCCGCACGGCTGAATTTTCCTAAGAGACCGCATCATATTTTGAGAGACATAGACATATTCAGCAATGGGTGGTGTTCGATATTTGTACGCAGTGGTTGTTGATTTCCACAACTTTCAAGGAAATGGGCAGGTTCCAGATAGATGTTTTCAGCTGCGGTTTGGGATTCAGAGTATAGATGCTACAAATCCTGTCGGTTAGGGTTTAGGGTGAATCAAGCTTCTGATTATTCCGGCCCTAAACCCTAACCCTGAAACCCCTAAATTCTTCACCCTGGGACTCCAACCACCACCCTAAGCCTACAATCCCTTCAAAGCCGTAGATGAATTTCATTTCCATCTGCCCTGTTCTTTGAGCCTCCATGAGTCTGATTGAATAGAGGCAAGCCTTCAGCACTATGCTCCCTCTAGAGCCCTTGCCCTTGCTGACCCCTTCAAGACCTTCTTGAATCTTGCCCTAAACCCTAAATCCTAATCTGTGAGGGACGTTCTTGAAACTTACGTGAGCCATAGTCTAAACTCCTTAACGGCTGCATATCTAGGGGATTATATATGAGACTACTATAGGGTTTTTTTAGGGGAATACCAGGAGTTTGGACCATAGCTCACAGATCCCTAGATATATCTTGATATAACCCTGGACCCTGAGAACTAAACCCTAAACCCTTGGTTCACGTGGTAAGGTTTTGGCGCATGATGGCCTCACTTCAGTCCGACGGGCGAGGCCCGAAGCCGAATACAGGACATCGGGCTCTGCTGCAGCTGGAGGACGATTTGGGGTTTGGGGTTATGTTTCACGCGGCTCTGGACTTTTTTTGTTTGAAAAGTCTCGTTATGCTAAATCTTAAACCCTAAATGCTGAACCCTAAAGTCCCGATAAGGATTTTGAAGCTACAGACGGTGTAATGCTAGGATCAAGACTCAGGTTTGGAGACACGCATGTCTCCCTGATCTGGTCCCTAGTCATTGCCAGGAAGCCAGGGTTGTCTATATTGGATGGGATTTTTAGGGTTTAGGGTTTAGGGTTGCAGGCAATGTCAAAATGTGCGCTCGAATTGTCATGGGTCTGTACACCCTTCAGAGATGCCCCTCCAAATTCCCTGTAGGGGTTCTATAGGGGTTATGTAGGGCTTCTATAGGGGGTATGTACTATATATATATGTATATATATATATATATCGATGCCCATCCCTACGACCTGCGGTGGCGGTGTGAAACGCGTTCATAGCCATTTCCCTCGAGAGTGGGTATGTAGGCCTACCACGCATTTACTTGGAGGGTCAGGGGGACGTAGTAAGTAGATTAATAACCATATAACCCACATAGTACCCCTAAATATCCCCATTTTCAACCTACTTACTAAGTCCCCCTGACCCTCCAAGTAAAGGGTTTAGGGTTTATAGAGTGGCAAGGAGCAGAAGAAACTGCGCATGCTGGTCACCCAGTTGCTTGGTTAGAAGCGTGTGGACACCAATCTGTGCTGTTATAATGTAGTAGCATCCGTTTAGGGCTTAGGGTTTAGGGTTTTCCATGATCCCCACATACAATCTTTATTCGCATATCAAGGTTGGGCTTCTCTCTGTGTGCTGGTCCAGTAGAGGCCTATGTGCATTCTTGCTTTTTTGCTGGCCGGTTGCCTAAAAGCCAAATGAGCCACTGTCTGAACTCCTAGTATCTCCCTTAATAATCCTTATACTCTCCTATATAATCCCCTCTGTAACACCGCTATTAAGACTGTGAGCCTTAAAACCAAAAAAAAGACCCTTTTCACGTAGTTTAGAGTATAGTTTAAATTGCCGTCATCCGCTTTGGATTCATGACGCTCGCTGCAAATTCCACGTGCCTAGAGCTCTGGTTGGACGTGGCTCTAAATTTCCAGGGTTACTGTTAAGCAATTTACATTAAATTACCATAATGGGTATAGATAGTGAATAATAGGGTTTCCCCAGTGTAGTAACTTAAATTAAGTTTCTTTACAGCAACCCAGTTACGGGGTAGGCCAAACCCTATATTATAGTCAGGGTTTAGAGTTTAGGCCCTATACCCTATACTAGAGTTGTAGTGTTAAGGTTTAAGGCACTATACCCTATACTATAGTTTAGGGTTTAGGGTTTGGGCCTTACACCCAGTACCCTAAACTGCCCTAAACTCTACCAGTAGCCACTATTGTACCCTTTGATGGAATTGGATGATTTCATCCGCATTTCAGATCCAGAACTTGAGCCAACTGCTTCAGAGCCCTGAGGAATGTGGATGGGCTTCACCAAGCGGCCGGAACTAACCCTGAACTCGTGGTGGAAGTGCATGGAAACACGCAGGCACATGGAAAGCTTTGCTTGCTGTGGTGCTTGCAGGACTTGGGCTTGGACCTTCCATGCTTATTTGGGGACGGTACATCTTCTAGTCTAACTTGAAGCTGCTGAAAGCGCTGACTTCTTTAAGGCAGGATAGCACATGGTCTTTCAAATGCGTGGAACTTTCCAAAACTACCTTACATATCCTAGGGGCCCCCAGTGCCTTCTTCTTTTCTTTTTGTCTGACCTCCATGTATACAAACGGTAAGCAACACAAAGCAGGCGCACTTGCTCGGCTGGTTTTGTTCGTATCTGATCCTCTGCAGGAAAGCTGTTGCTTGTCGTGCGGGGAACCGCGGCCCATTGCAGAGGCGTGGGGACCCAGCTAGAATGTATGGGGTAATGCAGGCTGAATATGCCTGCTAGTTAGGAGGGCCTTGCCCATGCAGGGCCTTTGCAGGGCATACTGGTTCTCCAGCTCGCGGTGAATCCTCTCACGTCATGAGTGCTGTCGTTAGCTAGCATGGTGCCACAAAGCATGATGTAATGGCATCGCCCCACCCGCAGAAAGTTCCAGAAGCAAGGCCAAACTGACATGGCACACGATCCCAAAGCCAAGTGCGGATCCTAGCAAGAAGCTGCCCATTGTACCGATGTGACGGCGCAAGATCAACGGCGGACTGCCGGAACAAGATGCACAGCGGTGTGACAGCCGAAAAATCTCCACCTGCTTAGATCAAGGTGGGATGATGATAGCACACATCCGGCCGGACTCATGAGCGCAAAGGATGTGCAGTTTTGGGTGCTATTAATTTAGGCGTAAGCAGTCTAATATCACAATCCGAAATGGTGGCCAGTGTCACTAGATCTCGTTAAGAAGACCCTTTCCGTCAATAGTACCCTGCCCACATGTACATGGAACCACAAGTCTTTTTTTATAGGGTTAGAGATGGTAGGATATTGATGCAAATGTTGTCCCACCAACATTTATGAACAAACCCTACCCCACATACAGGGTTCCAGCTAGGTTTGTACCAATTTCCTAAACCCTAAACCCTTAAACCCTAAACCCTTAAACCCTAAACCCTCACTCTGAGGTCCTGCCCCAGATCGAGACAGGTGAGGATCTGCACTGCCATTGTGGTGGTCTACTGCTACTGGACTTCATAATTGGAGGGTCAGGGGGACTTATAACCCATATAGTAGCCTTAAATATCCCCAGTATTAACCTACATACTACGTCCCCTGACCCTCCAAGTAGAGAGGGCACACGGTGGTTGAATGTAGGAGGATCGTGGAGAAGGGTTGGGCGTGTGTGGCATGGTGCCAACACAGAGTTCTTCCTGTGTGATGAAGGGTAAGATGAGCGCAGATGCTAAGTAAACCCTAAACCCTAGACCTCCACCTCAGAGCAGTGGCCCCTAAACTTACGAAGCTCTCGGCCTCAAACCTAAGCTACAAGGTCCCCCAACTGCCCTTCGATACCTATTGTTGGGTGTGGGACAAGGACTTTTTTCATGGCTTCTTACAGTGGTTCATTGTTGATCTCCAGTTCAACTTCTCAAATCCGTTCTCCTAGTCCCTGCTTAGAACCAACATGTGCAGCCCCCAAACCCTAAACCCCGAACCCTAAACCCAAAGCCCTACACAGTAGTTTCCATTTTTCCATTATCCCAAAATATCCCAAACATAACCCCAATGCATACCCTATTAGAATAGAGTAGTTTCCATTTTCTTTTCCATTATCCCAAAATATCCAAAACATAACCCCAATGTATACCCTATTAGAATAGAGTAGTTTCCATTTTCTTTTCCATTATCCCAATACTTTGGGTGCTGCCCCCCCTCAGTAACAGTTGGATAAACATTATAATATGGGTATATATAGCCCTTCATAGGACCCCTAACATAGACTGTTACTGGGGGGGCCAGTACCCAACCAATACTATATCTTCAGGAAGGCAAATGTGGTACTCTTCGGAGAGGCACTGCCGCCTCTGGCCCTCGCCATGCGCCCTGGTAGCAGGAGCCAAGTGTCCAGGCATTATGCTTGGGCTTCTGCGGTTGAGGGTTTTGGGTTTAGGGGTTTTGGCTTTGGGGTTTAGGGATTTGGGGTTTAGAGGTTAAGGGCTTTTCAAGGGATTATGTGCAGGATTGTTCAACCACTACGTACGGGCTGCGAGGATTCGACGTTTGGCTCTTACAGCATGTAGGTCGTGTTGGACTCCCGGACTGTGTCTGTTCTGGCACGTGTGGTGAAGCTTGTGGCAGGCTTTGTAGCAGCAGTGATTGCTGTCAATTATTCAGCAACGTTTTTTGAGTTGAAGATTTCTTTGGCTTGGTGGTCAGCTTACATCCATCTTCGTCCATCTTCTATTTCACACCACCACCTTCGGGAAGCACACACAGGCGAAGGGGCTGTCATTCTCTTCGAGGTACAGTTGTTCCTATTAGCACCAGTACTGAGAAGCATGGCCGCGGCGTCAGTCTAGCGCGAACAACGACTCAGCACTTGGGCTATTCTAGGGTCAAGAGTATGACTGAATTCCGAATCCTTAAACCTCTAAACACCCAACCTCTAGACCCGCAAGCCTCGAATCCCAAACCTGAAACACTACCCCTAAACCTAAACACCCCAAAGCTAAAACCCACGCCTTATGCCTGAGCCTTAAATACAAGTTTCCACATTCTGTTCCATCATCTCTATAATCCCCGTATCATCCTTGTATAATCCCTAATGGAACTCTAAACCCTAAATCCTAAACCCTAAAACCTAAACCCTGAAGCATAAATCCTAAAACTTCAACCTAAATCCCAGAGTCAGGGCCTTCGAGGCTGCACGGGACTGCGATCTCCTTATTTGCATCGGCAGCACGCTCTCCGTCTACCCGGTGGCTGAGCGGTTTGGGGTTTAGGGTTAGGAGACACTTCGGAGTTTGGGTGAGTGTATACCAGGATTCAAGGGTGTATACGTCTTGTAAAGGTGCCATATACGAGGAAGTATAGAGGGTTGTATAGGGATATGTAAGGGCTTATTTATGGAGTTGTAAAGGCAAACAAATGGAAAAGACAGCGGCCAATGTCATGGAAAATGGGCTTACGTGGTCCTGAAGCGCCCTGGGTTTTCGCATGTTCAGTCTTCAGGGGATTTTCATTCATGGGAATGACAAGCCCTAAACACTAAACTTAAACAAGCCGACCAGGGCCAGCCAAGCAATTCCCCTAAACCCTAAACCCTAAACCCTAAGTTTCAACTGGAGCCGATGAAATTGTCCCCCAGGGAATTCTGAGCTTAGAGCTGGCCAAAGTCAACGGGGCAGACATGAGCCATGGTCTAAATAAAGTCCTTAAAGGGCCTATATAGGGGGATTATATAGGGACTACTATAGGGGTTATTATTAAGGAGGATATTAGGAGTTTTAGACTATAGCTCATATCTCCCACATGACACTGCTGCCCCTATACATAGCCTCAATTACAGCGTCTCCTCACAGCGATTCCAGAAAATTAGGTTATCTTTGTTGTTCCTGGGGATGCTTGCAAGGGGCCCTCAACCCTAAACCTCCCTACATACCCCAATATATACCCTGTTATAATAGAGCAGTGTCCATTTTGTTTCCCATTATCCCTATATAACCCCAATATATACCCTATTATAATAGAGTAGTTTCCATTTTCTTTTCCATTATCCCAATATATCCCCAATATACCTGTGTTGGTCTAGAAGGGCATTAGCTCAGGTGGCTGCCATAGTGCCAGAAGCTAAAGACTGCGGGGCTAAGCTTCTGTACCCTGGCAGCAGTTAGATGAGGATGTCTCAGAATGATAGTTCTCTCCAGCATGCCCCTCTCACATGCTTCTTCCGCAGTCTGACATCTGAGGATAGTTAACCAGGGGCCTACGCAGTTTGATGAGCTGGCGGATGTACGATTATCAGGCAGGAATGGGTGATGGAACATCGTTTTTGACGATTTCTGGGGTTCTGGTCTTAAGGCCAGCGCGGAAGTGTAGAGCAGAGGGCATTTCAACAGGGTGCTGCTGAATGAGGAGGCTTTGAACTTCGCTGCTTTGAAGTAGCTTCCAAAGGCATTTGGGGCAGATGAAGGATAATCTAATGTGACATGAAAACTGAAGATGTGTAGGGGTATGTAGTATTTTTCATGACGGTATTCGACTTCCCAATACAGAGCAAGATCATATGTATCCTCCTTTTGGGTATAGTACTTGAGAAGAAGAAGATAATTTTGCCCAACCACCAAAAAACTACCCACATTGAAGTTTAACTTTGGTAAGCAAACGTAAATTTCGACGAGAGCACCTGAACTTTTTTGAAGCATCAACCTGAAATCCTAGGCACTGAGCTCTGAATGCTTCAACTTCAAACCTTGAGCCCCAAAACTGGGTTGGTGTCAAGAAACTTAGATTAAGCTACCAGAATAGGGGCATACACTAAATAATGGGGTTTGATTACTATAACTTCTTTTAAGGTCCTGACTAAACCCTAAACCCTAAACCCTAAGCAACCCAGAAAACCGTCCCTTTATTCGCTGAGAGGCTCCATCTCAGCCGTGCTGCCAAAGATTTGCAGTGCCGACTCGAAGCTCTGATCGGGGGTTTAGGGTTTAGGGTTTAGGCTATGATCCCCTAGGGCTCCCAGTTACCTAAATAGTAGGCTACTGGGCTATGTAACTATAGGGTATATAGAACCCAGTTCCCATTATTTAGGTAACTGGAGCCCTAGGGATCTAGCTAGCTCCCAGCGTGGATTTTAAAACTTATGGCGGCTGGAGGATATCTTGCTCCATCTTGTGTACCTTATACCCCTGGAAATGCAGCATGTGGGGGATCAGAAGTGGTGCCAGATTTCTTCCATCCACTGTGGGTCCATGTTTTGGAGGCTGCGATTTAAGTGCCATAGCATTATGAGGGTGGCTTTAGCGGAACAAATTATATTTGGAACATTTCCTGAGCAAGGGAGCATTGTCAATCCCAAAAACGTATATCGCACCGCCCTTGCTTAGCAACGGTCAGGAAGCTGTGCGTTTTTCAGGTTAGAAGTGTAATGTAGACCCCTGATGAACGAACCCCCTCCCCTTCATAGGGATTATAGTAGGGGATCCTGATATTACGGCCCTTAAAAGGAGGGGGTTTATTAATCATGGGTTTACATTACAGGCTTCAGGGTGAGAAAGTAGTTGTTTGTCTGCTGCCATTGTCAAAACATTCACCTTAAACCAGCCGCGGTCAGACGCGAGGGAAAAGAGCGCCGCAAGTGGTCATGCTTTGACCTGCAAAAGCCGAATAAACGTCTTGAAGTCGAGCATCAAAAACAGCAGCTGGAAGTTTTAGCCCCCCTTAAGTCGATAGAATATGGCTTCCAAGATCCCCATATACCCCATATGCTATCTACTTAAGGGGGACGGTACCTGAAGGTACTGGAGCCTCCAAGGCATCCCTCCTTGCCCCAAACTCTGACCTGAATGACAGCACTGGTTTGCTTGGACTTGTGGGTAGATAGAAGATGCTTTGGGTATACTATAACAAGGTTCAAATATACCCTATATTCAATCTACTTAAAGGGGAGTGGTCTTCTGCCAGGTGACCAGAAGCGTTCTGGGTACAACCTCGGACAGAAACGTTAGCTCCAGCAGCTGGCTTGCCAAAGTAATGCTTTTGCTTCTCATTCTATCAGCTCTTTTCGCAAATGCAGAAAGCAGCTATGATCGTAATGATGATGATGCGGCTCAGGTCATACTGTTGTTGGTAGCCATTGCCCTCGAAGAGGTCTCTTCCATGCTCTCTCTTGGCCACTGAGGCAATGGCAGTGCTCCAAGTGGCAATGCATCCAGCACACCCAGCACATCCAGCACAGTGAGCTCTGCGAATGTATCAAGCTCCGCGAACACCTCCAGCCGCTAACTTGGCATGCTCTGGTGTCGTCCCAGACCGCGGCGGTGTTAGGGGGCATAACTTTTGAGAATTCAAACTCCATTGTTTGCGTAGGAACGCATGTTATTTGGGTTCCAACATTTTTGGCCCTTTCTTCAAATCCGGGGTACTTTTTAGGGGTCCCCATGATCAGGATTACAATATTTTTGGGTCTATGTCGGGGTCCCCCTTTGCATGGAAACCGCCAAAGAGCAAGGTTGAGCATGAGGATTAACATCATGTGAACCATAATCTAAACTCCTTAAAGGGGGATTATATGGGGACTATATAGGGGATTACTATAGGGGTTATTAAGGGGGATACTAGGAGTTTAGACTACAGCTCATGTGTTGCCGAGGCGTCATGCCATGTTGAAACCAACTCCTACGCGGTTTTCCAATTTATGCTACACGTCGCATTGTACCGTTCCCAATACTCTCACATATCGTTACAATCTCAATGCAGCCCCATTAGATTAGAGCTGTAGTCTAAACTCCTTAAATGGGCTTATACAAGGGGTCATATAGGGACTACTATAGGGGTTATGAAGGGGGATACTAAGAGTTTAGATTAAAACTCATTAGAGACATGCTCATTGGAAACCCTAAGCCCTTTACCCTAAACCCTAAATTCATTGGCAAGCATGCTTACCTGCTTCCAGTTTCCATGCTGCCACCCTATTCTGTGAGAGTCAGCATTGTGGGAGGTTTAAAAAAGGGCGTGCCCTGCAAAATCCCTAAGGCTTTGTAGGGCTTAAGGTGTGAGGTTCAGGGTTCCCTATTCAGGATTCTATAAGGAACAGTTAAAGAAGCGCCTGGCAGCAAAGGTGCGCAAAACATCATCCAGAACGGTCTTGTGGCGCGGTGCTCACACCTGCATGGGTTAGGATGCCATGGGTGTGATCAGGTAGATTCCCAGTGGTTTAGGGTTTTGGGTTGAGGGTTTTGAGCTTGGGGGAACTCCTCCAAGAATCCTTGGGTTCCCTTATGATCTCTGCTGGGGGGGAGTTCTTCTCAGGGGCTACGTCCTATCATTGGCCTCTTAGGAATCAACCCATCACAAGCTGGGAGAGCTTGGGAGTCGGTTTTGGCTTAACCTCACAATCCCCCCAAATGTTAATTCCTACAGCCCAGTGCCGCGTTGACTGAACTCTTGACCAGCTAGACTCGAATCCTTGGTGCCTTCACCCTATGCATTGTTGCAGGGCCACCCTAGCATGAAGCGCACATTAAAAGTAAGCGGGCAATTCGAGAAAACGCGTCACAAAACGCACCAACAAAAGAAATCCTGAACCCTAAGCCCAAAACGGTGAAAGTATCTGAATTCCTTGGGAAACACCCAACCTTCACCCAGAGAATATCCTGTATTCTATTATACTCACTGTTCCAGACACCGCTCTTGTTTTGTAGTATACCTGCCAAGTCCCTAGACCATAAACCCCTATATACCATCCCAGTTTCAGATGTGTTTTTCATTTGATTCTCCTACTTGCTCCAAAATATTCCCTAAACCCTTAAACCCTAAGCCTTAAAAATCCTCCAATATCCCCAAGCCTTTAACCCCACGCTTAAAAGCTCAAACCACCCTCTGTGCTGAGGATGGCAAGGTTAGCACCCTTTACTGGGCGGAGATTGACCGTGCCATCGCCGCAGCAGGCAGGGTGGTAGCAGCAATAGGGGGATCTCTGAAAATGGTTACGCTAAGTCGCGAAAAAGCCTAGAAAAGTAGTGGTCATACCCCTATTCACCGTACGCTTGTTACAAGAGAGCCTGGAGCCCCACTACAGTCCCCGTAAACCCTCTTCAGAGCTCAGGCCTTGTGACGCCGAAGCCACCGTCTCTGAATGACGTGGGTCCGGCTCCCACGCCTGATCCGCCCGGGCCTTGGCATAACGACATGATGCTAGATCATGTGGAGTCCTAACCAAACAGGGACCCTACATTATGGTCATTTTGGGGACAAGTACTTTGAACAACCACCATGTGCAAATAGGGGTGAGGGTTTAGGATTTATTTACGGCTAGTGTGGAAGAAGGAAATATATCATATAGGGGTTATTTTCGCATATTTTTCTACGAACAACCAGTAAGTGAAGACACTTTGAGGTGTTAGGGTCTCAGGAGTGGGATTGAGAGAAAATGGGGCTAGGGTTGAGAGGTTTATGATATGTACCGTAATCTCAACTCCCTAAAGGGAGTTAGATAGGGGATTATATAGGGGACTGCTATAGGGGCTATTAAGGGGACTACTAGGAGTGTAGATTATCGCTCATCTCAGAATGTCGGTTTCAGGCCTTTTTTGTCAGAATTTAGAACTTGGGGTCTGGTGAGGACTTAGGTTGCAGCATGGGAGAGTTTATGGATTTAGGGTTTAGGGTTTAGGGCTGGCATCATCAGTCCTCCCCCTTTTGTAGCAGAGCCCATGTGTTTGGAAGGGGTGCCTTGCATTGGAGCCGGGAAAGATAACAAACTGTTCGCCCTGATTATGCTTGGGAATTTTCAAGCTCCAAGCCCAAAACACGTGCACTGGTACTCTTCGTTTCACAAGGTAAGATGCTGCACAGTTGAGCTTGTGGGAAGCCGAGTTTTGAGTCAAGTCAGCAAAGTCGGCTCACTTTCCAATCCTTACCAACTATCCTAGTTCCTGGTAGTGGGGTACCAGGTGGTGGGGTTCCTGGGACTCCCTAAGAAACTGGTACTGAGGTACACCTCCATCCTGGGCGTCCAGAAGACTGCATCAAGCGCAGCATGCAGCTGAGACATGCGGCAGTTTGCTGTGTTCCACCACCGTTTAACATGTAATACCTCAGTGCAGCCCTTGCAAAAGGACAGAAGCCTGTTCCAGGGCCTTTTTTTTGCTTGCCTTCCAGCCAACCTGGTTCTCACTTTGACCCGCTCGTGCACTGTTGTTCCTCGTTGCCGTCGTGGCTGCCTGCCGGGAATCAGGACGATGCCACGGCAACGTTGGCAAACTACGAGCTTGTTACGCCGTGGGGACCTCACTGGAGTACGGGTAGGCCTTCTGACTGCCGCTAGTTTTGTAAAGAATAAACGCAGAATTGGGATAACGCGAAGATTAACAGCAAGTTAGGTAGTAGTGGTCTTATAGCACCAAGATAGAATTACTGGTCGTAGCAAGGGAATATACTCCCTATGAAATCCCTATATAACATATTCCCTTACTCCCTGCTTACCCCCCAGTAAGTAGAAGGGTGGTAGCCTCAACCCTAAATAAACCCAGCATTGATGGGATTTTGGTGAGAGACCCAGCACCTGCCGGGCAGAGCTTTGAGATCTTGCGCTGAGGCCGCCGCCCATCCCTCCCAGCGCGCCTAGCGTACCCAAGGTGGGACGGCAGAGCACTTTTGGACCGTTTTAGGGTTTTGGGGTCTAGGTTTCAGGCTTGAAGGGTCAAGGGTTTAGGGTTAAGGGTTTAGGGATCAGGGTTTAGGGCTTAGGGAGTCAGGTAGACGTCCCTTCTGGGAGCTGCAGCAGGTATCCGGATGTCTGGATCTTTCAAAGGCGGCAGTTTCTGAATAAGGAATTCTCATTGTCGCAAGTACCTCTGGACATTCTAGTGGTTGCCCCCTACGTCTGACAGTATGTATTCGCAGTACGATCATGATGTTGGTGCTGACCTGAGATGGAGTCTGCTGTTAAACAGCCAGACCTCGCAGGAGGTAGGATTTGCTACAGAAAACCCCTGGGGTCCTTACAAGAATTGTTGAGTGGGTGTCCGTCCAGGGCGAGAACCCTACCAGTGTGTAGGGGTTGTTTCAAAGATCCTTCTAAAGAAGCGCTTTTCAGCTAAGATCCTTACCTATTGAACATTATGGCCATTTGCGGGATTGTTCCTGTAACAACTACCACGCGCTTCCGTCCAGCATGCTTCACAGCTGCTCTGCAGGTCAGTGTGCTACCCTACCAAATGACACTTGGCGCGGAGGTGTTGCCACTTGCATCAACTACAGTGAGAGGGTTTTGGCAACTCCAAAGGGAATTGAATAGAAATAGATATTGTTATAGAGGATTCTAGAAGGGATGGTATCAGGGGTTATCGCCACAGTACTATGAGTTTTTTTAATTATACTCTCAATCCTCCTACTAAGGCCCTCATAAGGGTCATATGATAGTCATTGCGTCTTCATGGTGAGAGTATGGGCTACCAGATTCATCTTACAACCCTAGAATAATAGAAATAGTAATAGCAGAAATAGTAATAATATCAAACCCTAAACCCTAGACCCTATTACTAAAGCAGGCCCTGCGGGCAGAATAAATGAATTTAGCGGCTGGTGAGAGGCTTTTTGGCACAAGGCACAGTGGCCCCATCCTTCTAGCCCAGCCTATGCCGCCATG